CTAGTTTAATGTTACATGTCCCTTATACGTCAACTCAAAAGAGAGAGGGAAACTCACCTAAGCCAGTGGCTACGATAGAGCGCGTGCTCCATAAACGATGGCTGACTTGAGTGAAATTAGCAAGGAGAAGACAGGCTTCCTTTCCCGTTTTTTCATCGATGAGTCACGTGCAACCCTTCTGTGCTGGGGACGCAGGACCAAAATGTGCCCATTAAAATAAGCGCTTTAAAGCAGCTTTTGATGGAATTAATGACGGGATTTGGGAGGCAACACCTTTAAGGTAAATGTCAGGATGTGGGCTTGAATGCTTAAATGTAGTCACTTAAAGGATCAAAGACAAAAATACTGCTTGATCTATTCTCCCTGATTGCTTCAAAGCTGTTCAGAAGGTCAGTGGCTAACCAGTGGGATGCCTGTCTGATGAAGCAAGCACATTACCTTACCTGTCCTTGTACAGGACAGGTAGATTGCCATTAAACTGACACGCTCCCGATTTCCTTTTGGAGGCCCAGAAGACAGACCCATTAACTTTATTTTTAAGAACTTGTTTCTCCCCTTTGTAACCTTCAGAGAAATGCCAGTAATTATACAGAAAAGGCGGACCCACAGACCAAACAGCCTGAAGCTATCAAACCCCGCACCCTCGAGAACCTTCGGAGGCATGGAATTTCTCACAGGTAAATGTAAGAATTCAAATATGTTTCAGTGTGAAGCATAGTCGATGCATTTTGCTAATGACGTTCAAAACCAAGATGTCAGCTCCACTTGCTTCTCTGCCAAGGTAAAATTTTAAACCATGAAATCACTTGCCAAGCCTACAACCGTGTGATCATATGTGAATACACAGAAACACATATGTTGCTGACGAGTTCACCAGACTCTCAATGCTAACCTGCCCTTTAGGCATTTAGTAGTGAAATAAGGGATGGATAAAGTGAAATAAGGAGAAACGATGCACATTTGCCAGTGCATTTAGAAATCCGCACAACTTTGCAAATGTGCTTTGGATTACTTATTTGTACCAGTTTTGGGTAAAGCAGATAGAAGCAAGTATTTGGGTAGAACATTTTACACGCATACGCATTTCACCATTTAATTTAGCCCTCACAAAATGATTTTTATTTCTTTTTAAACTTTTAAGAAAATGTGATTTAAATGAAGAAGAGTAGAGCACTGTATAACCTAGAAAATGCCAGCTTAGAGGGGCCTGAGTGGCTCGGTCGGTTAAGTGTCCCATTTCGGCTCAGGTCATGATGTCCTAGTTTGTGGGTTCGAGCCCCGCGTCGGGCGCTGTGCTGACAGCTCGGAGCCTGGAGCCTGCTTTGGATTCCGTGTCTCCCTCTCTCCGCCCCTCCCCCGCTCATAGTCTGTCTCTGTCTTTAAAAAATGAATAAACCTTAAAAAAAATTTAAAAAAAATAAAAAAGGAGGAGGGAACTGAGGCACGATAGTGTTTGATCGCTTTCCCCCAGGTCACATCTGGTGAGACCAGTGTTGGGACTGGTTCCCAAGTCTGCCTGTCCCCCCAAATCTATACTTTGAGCTGCACTGCTAGACGGATATTTCTACTTTTAGCTCATTCTCTTACAACCACGTTACTGTTTTCTTTCTACTGTGGCTGAAGAATCTGATTAAGCACTGACACACTAAAAGGAGGAAGCAGCTGTTTTCTGGATCAAAAAGTGGATTAGAGATCATAAAAGTCAGATTGTAGGAACGAGGCAGTGACTCATCAAATTCTCTTGCTCGGTTTGTCAATTCCTTGGGCACAGAGTGTGCTATGTTGATAAGCACAAGTCACTTCGAAAAGTGACATTCGAGATAGAGGGAGGCATTCCCTCAAAGCCGCTGACAATTGGTGCTGCCGTTACCCGGTACATCGTGGGCCTGTACCAGAGAGTGACAAAATACTCGGAGGTTCCAAATGATCTTCTGCTCGCTTGGTTGTAGCCAAAGGGTTGAAAAGAAAAACTGCACTATTGTAGCCGGAAGGGCCTTCCTTCCTCTGCTCCCCAAGCTGGAGTCGTGCTGTTGAAGCCTTGGCATGACCAGTCGCCTGCCAGTTGCTTGTCTGAAGGTTGCTGGGAGTTGATGAAGGAGGAGAAAAGAGCGGGAACAAAATCTGAGCTCCTTATCCTTACTCTTTAATATTTATGTCTGAGGATATTACTTCCCTCTCCCTTCCCCCATACTCCATGTTCTAGACTTATCACAATGAAACCCAGAGGGATTTCTGGATACTTTAATTTTTTTTTTTAACGTTTATTTATTTTTGACACAGAGAGAGACAGAGCACGAACAGGGGAGGGGCAGAGAGAGAGGGAGACACAGAATCCGAAACAGGCTCCAGGCTCTGAGCGGTCAGCACAGAGCCCGACGCGGGGCTCGAACTCACAGACCGCGAGATCGTGACCTGAGCCGAAGTCGGCCGCTTAACTGACTGAGCCACCCAGGCACCCCTCTGGATACTTTATAGGCTGAATTGTGTCCCCAGTCTCCGATTAATATGTCCAGTACCTTATTTTGTGACTGAATTTGGAGATAGTCTTTAAAGCGGTAATTAAGGTAAAATAAGGTCATTAGAGTGGGCCCTAATATGACTGAAGTGTTTATAAGAAGAGATTAGAACACAGACAGGTACAGAGAAAAAACTGTGTGAAGACACAGGGGAAGGATGGCCATCTACAACCCATGATGAAAGGCCTCAGAAGAAACCAACCCTGAGGACATCTAGATATTGAACTTTTAGCTTCCAGAACGGTGAGAAAAGAAATTTCTGCTCCTTAGGCCGCTGTCTCTGGCATTTTGTGATGGTGGCCCCAGGAGATTAACACAATATACGAAAGCTGACCATCTTCTAGACTTACAGTGAACCTCAGGGAGATTTCTGGATGCCATTTTCAAAGAGCTCAGTTATGATGTGAGTCTCCGTTCAAGATAATCCTTCTAATTGCTAAGGCAAGAAATTTTATTCTTTTTTTAAAAGTTTTTTAAAAATATATTTATTTACTTTTGAGAGATGGAGAGTGACAGAGCATGAGCAGGAGAGGGGCAGAGAGAGAGAGACACACACAGAATCGGAAGCAGGCTCCAGGCTCTGAGCTGTCAGCACAGAGCCTAACATGGGGCTAGAGCTCACAAACTGTGAGATCATGACCTGAGCTGAAATTGGACACTTAACCACCTGAGCCACACAGGTGCCCCGAATAATTTTATCCTTTAAGGAATGGTAGCCATATTCTATCCTGGGTGGTCAAGGCCCAACTGGAAGAAGGCATTCACTTTTGGGTACCACACGTTAAGGGAGATACAGTCAAGGGGCGCTTATTAAAAATGGCAGTTATCTCAATAGTGAAAGAGGCAAAGTCCATGTTTATTCTTCCAAATTTGAGATGTTTGCTCTGGAAAGGAAATGGCTCATGAGGTGGGGATTTGCCTTCTTTAAGCATTTAAGTACTTAAAATATTTGCTTCTATTATTAGATACTTCCAAAAAAAAAGAAAATAAATAAAAAGTAAAGTCCCCCATGTTTATAGCAGCACTATCGACAATAGCCAAAGTATGGAAAGAGCCCAAATGTCCATCGATGGATGAATGGATAAAGAAGATGTGGTATATATACACAATGGAGTATTACTCGGCAATCAAAAAGAATGAAATCTTGCCATTTGCAACTACATGGATGGAACTGGAGGGTATTATGCTAAGTGAAATTAGTCAGCCAGAGAAAGACAAAAATCATATGACTTCACTCAGAGGAGGACTTTAAGAGGCAAAACAGATGAACATAAGGGAAGGGAAACAAAAATAATCTAAAAACAGGGAGGGGGACAAGAACGGAAGAGACTCTTAAATATGGAGAACAAACAGAGGGTTACTGGAGGGGTTGTGGGAGGGGGGATGGGCTCAACGGGGAAGGGGCACAAAGGAATCTACTCCTGAAATCATTGTGGCACTAGATGCTAACTGACTTGGATGTAAATTTTAAAAAATAAAAAATACAATTAAAAAAAAAAAGTATTTGCTTCTACAACTGCAAAATAGTGAACAACAGATGATGCAGAAGGATTTTGATGTAATGTAAGAAAAATGTATGGAGCCAGCCATTTCCAAAGATGAAGTGAGCTGATAGGGAAGGAGTGAGTTCTTTATTACAGTTGGTGGCCAGACAGAGGAGAGTTGACCACCGGTGGGAGACATTGGAGGATGTATCCATCAGGAAAAAAACCAGTTTCAGTCAGTAGCATTTCAACACGGGAAATTAAAGGCCTGTGGGAAAGGTGCCGGAGTTGCAAAGCAGCAAAGATTAGAAAGTCAAAGATGAGAGTTTGGCTAATTGGCTAATTAAGCTACTCAAAGATTAGAAACTCCAAGGGGCGCCTGGGTGGCGCAGTCGGTTAAGCGTCCGACTTCAGCCAGGTCATGATCTCGCGGTCCGTGAGTTCGAGCCCCGCGTCGGGCTCTGGGCTGATGGCTCAGAGCCTGGAACCTGCTTCCGATTCTGTGTCTCCCTCTCTCTCTGCCCCTCCCCCGTTCATGCTCTGTCTCTCTCTGTCCCAAAAATAAATAAACGTTGAAAAAAAAAATTTTAGAAACCCAGGGCTACCACACGAAGGACCTGAGGGCCACATGGGAAAATGGCGTGACCCAGGCAGCAGGACGGATGGCCGCCATTTTCATCACAGGAGAGCTTTGAGTCTGTGAAGTGACTTAATATTGTGGCCCCTGTCTGGTCAAATCTAAACTCAGTAGTTGCTCTCCTTACAACTTGGAGAGAGAAAAGGAAAGTCTAACCTCCATGACCCAGGCACACGTGCTTGACGAAGAGGCTTGGGCAGTCCCGGCCCAGCACACCCTGGTACAGAGCACTGGCAGACCCCTGACTGTCCTTCTCAAGTTTTAATTATTTAGTCATTCATGCCTTCACTCACTCCCTCACTCACTCATTTAGCAAAGTGCAGACCCTGGAGGAAATTGCCTTTGTCTGAATCTGGTACTTACCACCTTTCTGACTTTGGGCTGTGTGTCAGGGGTCCCGATGTTGGCTTTCTTCCAGACTGTCCATGTGAGTCTTCCAGGGACACGGCAGAAGCCTCTGCCTGCACATGTCTCTGCTCTGGATCTTCTCTTCTCTGATGCTTCCGGTTCCCGACTTGTCCAGAGGCCACTCCTTCAGGAGACCCAAGCTTCTCGCTGTTGGATTTCTGCTTTACAGCTTGCCCTCGGGGGCAACGGCAAAGAGCTCAAGCTTGGTTATTTTCCATAACGTGTCCTGGAATCCTTTGCAGGGCTACGTGGTGGTGCTGCAGCTGGGCCATGGGGTCCCTCTCTCCTCCACCCGGGTTTTCCTCCAGTTCTCCTAGGTCACTATGTGGGTAGGTAAAAGGCAGGTCAAAAAGTCTGCTAAGAAGATACGAAGCCAGGGAGTGAGATGGGAATTCTCCTTCGGAAGGAGCACCTCCAAACTCTGCAACGATTTTCTTGAAGTCTTCCTCAAGAACCCTCTCACCTCCTGCTGGGCCAAAGATAGTAGGCCTTTATTCCATCCCTTCCCACTCGTGGGGGTGGTGATGTTGGCGGGATAGCTATGGGAAGGCAGATTCTACCTCCCCCGGCAGCAGTGTCTGAATGCTTTCCAGTTTAGAATATGAGGTCACGGTGCCTCTTTGTTTCCTATATTTGGGCCCCAGGATAACAAAAGTCCTACTTAACATCTTGTCACATTTTCTCTGACCCCTTCCTCTCTACATCCCGGAATAACCTATGGTTTCTTGCCAGGTCCATCGACTTCAAGTATGAGAACAGAAGGATCATAACGATGTAAATCCTTTGGGCAATCCATCAAGACCGTGCGGGGGTCCAAGAGGGTATACAGCTGGTGCCACTGTGGCCGTGGCAGCGTGCCTCTCTCTGTATTAGATCTTCTCTGGTTTCTTGCACATGCCCTTGCCTTGTTCTTTAATATTATTATTATTATTCAAGTATGGTTCACATGCAGTGTTATGCTTAGTTTCAGTTGTATCATGTAGTGATTCGACAAGTGCATACGTTTCTCAGTGCTGCTCATCAAGACAAGTGTATTCTTAATCTCCTTTATTTCACCATCCTGCCACCCACCTCCTCTCTGGAAGCCAGCCACCAGTGTGTTCTCTGTATTTAAGAGTCTGGGGTGTTTTGTTTTGTTTCTCTCTTTTTTTCTTTGTTTGTTCATTTGTTTTGTTTCTTAAATGCCGCATATTAGTGAAATCATATGGTATTTGTCTTTCTCTGACACACTTATTTCGCTTAGCATAATACCCTCCAGATCATCCATATTGCTGCAAATGGCAAGATTTCATTCTTCCTTATGGCTGAGTAGTACTCTGTTGTATATGTGTGTGTGTGTGTGTGTGTGTGTGTGTGTGTGTATGTATATATCCTTCACACCACATCTTCTTTGTCCATTCATCTGCGGATGGACACTTGTGTTGCTTCTGTATGCTGACCATTATAAATGGTTCTGCAACAAACAGGGATGCATATATCTTTTCAATATGAGCCACCCTTTTAAGATATATCTGCTGGCAATAAGTTCTCTTAGTTTTGCTCCATTTGAGAATGTCTCAGTTTCTCCTTCATTCCTTGAGGATGTTTCCTGTCGTGACCGGCGCAACAAACACCGAGGTCAGGGTCCTGAGGGTAGGGGAATGCAAGAAAAAAGAGAGAAGAGAAAGTTTGGGAACAGGAGGGTCCCCTGGGCTGATGGCCCAAGTGACGGCTTTATTGTTGCTGTACACAATCTTTTATAATATAAGACTCTTATGGATCAGGTCATTCTAAGTATAATCAGGTTTCACATAATCGCTGCCCACCAAAACATTTAGTTCTGTGTTTCTTGTGCATTTTCTAGACAGGTCACAACAAGACCTTGTTGATAAGATTGCTAGCAAAACACAATTCCCATGTTTGTTTCTATCTGACTCGGGGTAGAAAAAGGGAGGTAGCATTACTGCCAACACCTGCAGACCACAGGCTTCAGGAATTAACTTTCTCAGCCTTGACAAGGCTTTTGTGTGCCCTTGAAAGTGGGGGAATGGGAGGGGGAACCACCGGGTTGGCTGAGTCAACAGGGAACGTTGCTCGACCCGGTCTCAGCCTGGCACTGGGGTCTGCCGCGCCCCCCCCCCCAGTTTCCCCTGCATACAGGATGTAGATTGGCCTTTTCCTTCTTTTCTTTTCTTTTCTTTTCCTTCAGGGCTTTGGAAATGACATAGTGATGTTCCATCTTCTGTGCCAAGTAATCCTGCACCGATTCTGGGCCCCATGTGTGCGGTGTTCTCAGACTTAGGGACTGGGTCCCCATCGGGAGAGAGCCTTAGCTAGGGTTAGGTTTTGGTCCAGGGACGTCTCCAGGGCTGAAGCGACACCAGTCCCGTGCTCCCCCTGAAGGGCTGAAGTGAGTTGTTAGAGTTGCTTTCTATTAGCCACTTCCGTCTGGCCTCCGTGACCTCTGAGGAATTCATGGTCATTCACGTTATTTTTCCCCTGCACTAAGGGGTCCTTTTCTCTCTTGCTGCTTTAGAGAGTTTCATTTTTGTCTTTAGTTTCAGAAGCTTAATCATGATGCCTCTTGACATAGTTTTCTTTGGATTTATCCTATTTGGAGTTCACGCAGCCTCTTGACTGTAGATTTATGTTTTTGTTGAATTATTGAGAACTTTTCCAGCCCCACCCTTTTTCCTCTCTCCTTCTGAGATAAGAGGACACTTGTTCGTTCAGCCTGTTTTCCTTCTTTTGTTCTGATTAGAATAGTTCCTATTTTTTCACTTTTCAGTGCACCGATGCCTTCCTCTGCCCCCTCCTTTCTGTTATTGAGCCCTCAACTAAGCTTTTCATTCCAGCTACTGTACTTATTTCAGTTCCGAAAGTCCCACTTGGTCCTTTCTCTTTGCTGACGCTTTCTGTTTTTCAGTTGTTTCAAGTGTTCTGCGATTGGTCACTGAGCTGTTTTTAACATTGCTGCTTTTATCTTTGTAAGATAATTCTAATATCTCTGTCTTTTTGGCGTTGGCTTTCATTTATTGTCTTTCATTGTTTCAGTTTGAGATTTTCTTGGTATGAAAGTAATTTTCTATTGAAAGCTTGACTTTTTTTTTTCCTTCCTATTATGTAATGAGTCTCTGGATATTATTTAAATCCTGCCAGGTGGAGGTGGAAGTCTGTTGCCCCACTTGGCCTCCATTGGCACCAAAGCGGGTGGGGGGGGGGGTCTCCTGGTTACCGCTGAGTGGGGTAGGAGTTGCGTTTGCCTATGTGGTCTCCACTGACGTCCCCAGAGAAGGTGGCCTATTACCTCTGGGTGATGGTAAAAAACTTGACTCCTCACTAGGCCTCCTCTGACGCTATCCCAGGGAAGAGGGAGGTGCTTTGCTATTGCTGGGTGGAGGTGAAGGCCAAGCCTCCCCATGTGATGTCTGGCGACCATTACCAAGAGGCTGTCACGAAAGCCCTGGTTTCTATACCCTGTTTGCTCTTTCTACTGAGGCACGTTCATCCGTTGTGAAATTTTACAATTTGTAAGAAGTCATAGCTTTCATTTGCTCTTTCTCTAAGACTAAGTTTTCGTGGGATTTTGATCCTCAAAATTTACCCCCCCTCCATCTTATACTATTTGGGGTAAAGAAGCACTTGGCTCTTTCAACTCTTTCCCTTTCCTTTCTGCTCGTAAACTGGTTGTTTCTGAGCTTCTGTTTCTCATGTAATGTTGTGCCATATCTAGTCAAAGCACTTTATCCATACTACTAAAATGGTTTCCAATGTCTTCCCTAGAAGTGCAAGTTCCTTCTATACACAATCCGCCCTTAAAGTTTCTCAGTTTCACCAGAACTTTTCACTACGTGATAGGGCCTCCGGCCTTCTGACTGCTAAGCCTTTGCCATACCCCCTTGGGACGCTTGTGAGAGCAACTTTCAGCTCTTGCTACCAATATTTTTATCGCTGAGGCTACAGTTGGTTATGCTGTAATGCAAGCACCCTGAAATTCAGTGGCTTAACACAGCCAAGGTTTCTTTCCTTACAATCTGCTTTGAGTTTCTTTTGGTGGCTTTAAGGCCGTGGACCTCCACACATCGGGTCAGCTTTCAAGATCTTTTGATGTGTGGCGTCTCTACCTCACGATGAATATTCTTTCATGGCCAGCACAGCAGCACAGAGGGCACAGAGGGCTCTGCCCCCGCTCCTTCGTGCTACAGCCCAATATGTGTAGAGATACGCATGGTTTTACTTTCAAATGGATCATCTGACGGAACTATCGCTCACCCGCATAGACGCCAGGGGCCTGGGAAGCACACTTTCTCCCCGCATCCAAGTGGGGGGAGAGAACTGGATGCGGTGGGCATTGAGGAGAGCAAGCAGGGGGTGGTGACCTTGGTAGTGTCTGCCCCTGAGAGGCGTTCTGCTGAACTCGATTGTGAATCCAAAGCTAAACAAAACTTTCATCTTCAGTAACTGGGGTCTTTTGCTCCACAATTTAAACTAGCAATACAGAGCAAGTGAGGACAATTTGAAATGTCTTTGAGTCTCGGACTAGGCGAGGCCACTCAGGGTCGATCACCACAGCACATGAAAGTCTTAACGGTGCCTTTGTGCGGCAACCGCATGCCGCGTAAGGACCCTAATATCTGAATCTCTGAGCATTCTGAAAGGGCTGTCGTGGGGACAGATCTTACTAGTTACTTTATTATTGTCATCTTTTTTTTTTTTTCTCATTATTCCACGCCTCCTCTTCAGATCAGGAAGCTTTAAAAAAAGTTTACAGTTTGATAATCTTTCCAAACCGTGTACATTTGATGGTAGGAATCAGTGATGTGAATACTCCAGAAATCATAGTTTTAGCATTGGAACGCATGATTCTTTTCCCGGCAGCATTTTAGGGTACATGGCTTCTTTTATTTAAGTTGATATAACATATTTCATGGGACCATTAGCGTTAGAAGAAATAGAAAAGACATCTCGTCTCACGTCACATACATTGCCATTCCTACGGTATACACTAATTGAACACAGAAAAGTGTGGCTGGTACTTTAGAGAAACTGCCCAAGAAAGTAAAATCGACCACTGATCATCCGTGATCGTTCACACCTTAGAGAAGATGATGCTGTCGGTCCTTCTATGATGATGTGACTGATGACCAACGGAAGAGTATCGTGCGACAGTGTTGGCTGGAGGTAACCAGTAGTGGGGATAGATGGCCACTTTAATCTGTACTCTCTTATTTTATTAGTTATAGTCTACCTAACTCCCAAATTATTTGAGGTGGGGGAACTTCCGCTTCTGACCATTGACACAGTATGTGACTAGCCCTCTTGCTAGAAGTATCTATAAAACTGGACACGTATTTTCAAGCCTTTGGACAATAGAAATACACGGCTAATCGGACACAAGGGAAACACATGAGGGGAACCCCCCCCCATCATCATTTCCTCCAGGACTCTGCCAGGGGCAGCGTACCCATAACATGAGAGGCCAAGGGGAGCTCAGTAGTCTGCCAGGGCTGGGCAGCAGCCCCTCTGAGGCAGGGGAACAGGGTCAACAAACAGGTGCTACCCAGGGACCTTGCGCTGGTGTTGTCTCCAACAGATTTTCTCCAAAAATCACCTCCAAGATTTTGTGTTTTTTCTTAGGCA